AAGCCATTGAATTGTGTTTGAATTACTGGGAAGCTTGTGGAACAGTGCTACTAGAAGGAGTGGAGGTCACAAAGGTGCAGGACTTAAAGTAATTAGGATAAACTGTCCAGGAAAGCAGGGAGTGTGGTAATGAGGTGAAGAGAGTCCAGGCAGGATGGAGTGGATGTAGAAAAGTTTCAGGATGATTTGTGACAAAATGGTGTCAGCAAATGTCAAATGAAAAGTTTACAAGACAGTGGTGAGACCAGCTATGTTGTATGGTCTGGAGACAGAGACATGGACAAAAAACAAAAGACAGAACTAAAAAGTAGCAAAAATGATGATGTTGAGGTGACATCACTGCGGAGTGACAAGGATGGATAAGATTAGGAATGAGATCATCAGAGGTACAGCACAGGTTGAACAACTGGGAGATAAAGGTAGAGAGGACACAATAAGATGGTTTAGACATGTCCAGAGGAGGGACAGTGGTTTGGACATATCCAGAGGAGGGACAGTGGTTTGGACATATCCAGAGGAGGGACAGTGGTTTGGACATATCCAGAGGAGGGACAGTGGGTACATGGGTAGAAGAATATTAGAAATGTGGCTGCCAAGAAAAAAATGTTAAATGTTAAATGGGCTGTACTTACATAGCACCTTTCTATCTCAAGATACCCAAAGAGCTTTACACTACAATCTGTGCCTCATTAACCCATTCATACAGCTCTATACTAGATCTCTACAAATAATAATCAGAGCTTTATCACAGCCATACACTGATGGGACACACATAGGTGACAATGGTTCAGTGTCTTGCCCAGGGACTCGTCGGCATGTGACAGCTGGTGGAATCAAACCCTAACTCTTGCATTGGAGGACGACTGCTCTAACCACTCAGCCACATCCGCTCAAAAAGAGAGAACCTGAAGAAAGCCCATGCATGCACAGTGAAAACATGCAAGCTCTACACAGAAAGGCTGCAGCCAAGTTCTGAACTTGTGGCCTGCTCATCAGCTCTAATCAGAGCATCATGCTGCCCTCTAAAAAATCACTTACAAATCTGCATGAATGGACAACTCCCACCTCCCATTCAGTCTTTAAATAATGCATACATCAACCTGTTCATAAGACATCACCAGTACATACAATACTTCAGCCACTGAACTTGTTTCATTCTTGAAATTGAATAATTTTGTTCTGGTCGTTGCCAAGTTTACTTGTATTTAGAATGATTCTTTTTAATGCAAACTGCAGATAAAAAGCCACAAAAGGTCCAATGAGCTGGAAATCACAGCTCTAGACTAAACAAGCTATTATCCTCTGATCAGATTAGATACAAGTGGCCCTTTTAACCATAACACAACCTTTTAAGTACTTAATAATATACTGAAGACTGTATGAAAAACAAACAAAAAGTGTGGAAGCATGAAAAGTGCATGACAGTGTGAACAAAGCAGGGCATGGCTTGCTTCCGAAAACAAACAGTGAATCCAGCCTGATGGATTTTCCATCGCAGCGCCATGTTAATGAGAGGAAGCAGGGGAGTGCTTCCCAGGGACTGCATTGTGATACTGAGCACCGTTTTACCTTTAGCAGCTTGATGGAGGGAAACCTCTAAGAGTTTGGCCAATTTGTCCACCTCAGTTAGGGATGGTAAGTCCCCGCTCGGGATGCTTGGAAAATTGCTATCCAGCATCCGCCAGAAGCCTGCTGTGGAGAGGATGTCTGATAATGTTTTCAGATATACTCATGACTTACAGGTCACGCTGCCAAACTTAACATTCAACTTATGCCAACTTTACTTATTGTGCTTCCTGTTCTGTCCCACAAATTCTTGGAACATGTAAAAATAAAATCAAGTGCACAGAGCAGTCAAAGGTCAGCGAGGTCCTGCATATGCCCATCACTACAATCACAACAAACTAAAGAACTTCTTAAAATTGTTTAAATCAAGTCAAACACTGATAGTATCAAGAGATGCATTTTCTCCACCTGGTCATCAAACGTGCAGATTAGTGCATGTTTTGCAATTATAAAGTACTTACACAAGTCAGAAATAAAATCCCTTTGAATTAATTCATTGTTCTGGGACGTCAACACGTGTAGTTCATGTCAATCTCACAAAAAACTCTGGACTTAAAAAGTGAATGAATGTGACCTGACTTCTTTGAAATGATTCTGAATATTTCCACAAGCCATTTATATTCAGACCGATCTCTGACTTGGAGAGGTCAGTGTGCAGAGAGGAGCATGTGACGAGAGGTCAGCTTTGTTTTGAACAGACCAGCTCAGACATGAAACAGCTCTGCAGTTTCCTCTTGGTGCATAATGTAAACTTGGCTCCAATAAAAGCATCCGTTGGCACCTCAGTGGACAACAGGAAATCTTTGTTTATCAGATACCGTTCTACTGTTGGCCTCTAGATCCTCAACCCTTTTAGTTGTGATACACCCTTTTACTTAAGGATCTGTTTACTAAAAAAAGCTGCCATGTCCTGAAGATAAACAAAGACGAAGTATGTGTGTATAAAAACAATGTGTGCAGATTCTGCCTCGGTTCCTCTGGTTCAGTGACGCTTGTCAAAGTGCTTCGTGATATGTATTGTTCAACAGAGTTTAAAACATTCTTGGGTTCATGCGTCTAAAATAGACTGTGTTTCTACAGAAACAATCCAGTAAATAATAATAATAATAAATCAGAAACACAAATTCACAAGATTGAAACCCAAACTAACAGAACACTCATTCAGTTTACCCACTCAGTGGGCTTTTATTATGTTTCCAACAATGGATTTGTTTCATTCACAGTGAGAGCCACACAGTTTAGATTCCTCGCTTGCACGTCTGTGCAGCTGAGTGTTCAGGCATCAAGGCAACGCGAGTATGCTCTCAAAAATAAAGCAAGTTATACTTTTTTTAATCAGTTAACCACAAGCAAAGTTCAGTAAAAAGGACATAAAAAGAACATCAAATCCTATCAGCCCCAGGCCTCACTGGTCCACTTAAATCTGATTATATGAGAGAGCTTGCCACAGTTTCTGTGTAACTTCAGGCTGTCTCTGTTTATTCTAGAATCTCTTCCCAGCCAGCACATCTGCATCTGCTGCAGTTTTTCAGTTTTGAGCTCAATGTCTGTAGAGGGTGTCTGACATGAAATACGTCACACGTTACTGAGCTGTGTATATTCAAACATACCTTTGTTTAGTAGGCAAAACATAGCAGAACATAAATGATTAGATTAGCATACACTCACTGTCTACAGTATTAGGTACACTTGTTCAGTTGATGGTAATTACTGGGATTTTCACAAACAACCATCTCCGATATTTAGAAACACTCATCAGACCATGCAATGTTTTTTCAGTCTCTTATTATTCAATGATGGTGGGTCTGTGCGAACCATCTTCATCCATCCATCCATCCGTCCATCCATCCATCCGTCCGTCCATCCATCCATCCATCCATCCATCCATCCATCCATCCATCCATCCATCCATCCATCCATCCATCCATCCATCCATCCATCCATCCATCCAACTAGCCAGACAGCCATCCGTCCATCCATTATCGTCCACTTATTCCGAAGTTGAGTCACAGCGGCAGCAGCTTGAGCAGGGAGGTTCAGACATCTCTTTCCACAGCCACCTCTTCCAGTTCTTCTGGGAGAACCCCCAAGGCGTTCCCAGGCCACCTGAGAGACAGTCTCTCCAGCATGTCCCGGGTCTTCCCTGGGATCTCCTGAAAGTCAGACATGCCCAAAGCACCCCCCAGGGAGGTGCCGAAGGAGCATCTTTACCAGATGCCCCAACCACCTGGGTGGATGTGGCTGAGTGGTTAGAGCAGTCATCCTCCAATGCAAGAGTTGGTGGGTCGATTCCACCCACAGTCACATGCTGAAGTGCCCATGGGCACGACACTGAACCCATCATTTCCTCCGATGCGTGTCCCATTGGTGTATGAATGTGATAAAACACTGAATATTATTTGTATAGATCTAGTAGAGTACTGTATGAATGGGCAAATGTGGGCACAGATTGTAGTGTAAAGTGATATTAGTATCTTGATGAGATAGAAAGGTGCTGTATAAGTACAGTCCATTTAGCATTTACCACTTCAAACTGTTTTCAGTTTTCTGTTTTTGATGGTATCTCGGGGTCTTGTTCACGAATGAGGAAAAAATGGCCTGTGAGATCGATAGGCGAATAGGTGCAACGTCGGCAGTGAAGCGGGCGCTGTACCCGACCCCGGATAAGCAGAAGAAAATGGATGGATGGATGGATGGATGTTTTTGATGGTATTCTACAGGACTTTTTTTGTAACCAGTAATTATTTGAGCTTCTGTTGCCTTTCTGTCATTCCAGTCTGCCCATTTTACTCTAACCCAGTTGACATAAGCAAGGCTTTTTGGTCAATATGGATGATTCTCACTGGGTAATGTCTCCTATTCGGACCATTCTTCTTTAACCCCAGATATAGTTGTGGGTGAATAATCCCAGTAGATGGATCAGCCCATCTGGCACCAACAACCACACCACATTCAAAATCACTTAAATTCTCTTTCTTCCTTGTTCTGATGCAGTTTGAACTTTAGCAAGTCGTTTTCACCATGGCTGCATGTCTGAAGGCAATGACTTTCTGCCATGTCACTGGGTGATTAGCTATTTGTGTTAACAAGCAATGGAACAGGTGGTCCTAATCAAGTGGCTGCTGAATGTCAGTCCCAGTTAATTGCATGTTCATGTAGCTGTTTCTGGAAGGTTGTGGAGGAATCAAATGCTAAAAGTGACTGAGCTAGTTACACGTTGATTATATTTTACATAGTTTGATTACATCTCTATATGTATAGATTATTGTCAAAAGAATGAAATCACTGAGAGTTATTAAAATGTGCAGTCTGCTTCAGATTTTTTGAATAAATGCATAATTGAAAAAAGAAACTGTCTTTGATCATGCAGAGTACAAACAGTACCTCAAGTGAAGGAGACTGATAACAAGGTGCATACACAGCTCATTAGTGTCTTATTCCTCCTTGTGTACTTTGTTTGTGTCTTCCATACTCCCTGCAGGTTGGGACATTGCACTTCGGACACTCGTCTGGCGCTTTCGCCTTGGCCGGTGCTCTGAGAACCAGTTAGAGACGCTCATAGCGAGGCGCAGGAAACCCAATCTGATGCAGTGTATTTCTGAAGTGATGGGAATGTCAGAAAAAAGTGCTTGGTTCTGGCCCAAATGGGCACTACTGCGTTCAAAGTCTTTAACGATGTTAAGAATCTCCTGCCGCTCTGCCTGCCGCATCATCCCTCGCACGTTCAGTAGGGTCGAGACATGCTTCTTCCTGTGGGGTGGAAGGGCAAAAAGAAGGAGGCTTAAAACGGCTGTCAAAGGGAATTGGTCCTGATTGATGTCATTAGTTCTTATATTTTTTAGTAACACCTCACTAAGTCATTTGATTTTTTTCTAGGAAGGAAAAGTTTTGTACTCTGGGGTACAAAGCTTGGCTCTGATTAAAGCATGTGATCTTGACTAAATATCAGCTGAACATGTGAGGAAAGTTGGCTATAGAAACTTTTGTGTTTTACTGGATCAAACACAAAACATTACTTAATTTTTACCAATTCCTTTAGTCAGCGGTCAAACAGATTCCAGCATTGCAAATTGGGCTTGTATGGCAAATTAGAGCAAAAGCTTCTGGATAGACTTTGGCAAGACGTGATAACAGCAGAGAATGTATTTGGTGATAAAAGTAAACACCACAGATCCATGCAAACCCATGTTTTGAAAATAACGAACAAAAATCATCCAAAGACTTTGACCAAACTATTCATTACGAACGGTCCAATACACTGAATAAAACAAAGCTCCCTTTAAATCTGACAGGAAAATAAATCAATAGTATCAATAATCATATCCAACATTGCAAAAATAATTGAAAATATTTGCACTAATTTAGGGCAGCGCGGTGGTGCAAGTGGTAGAGCTGCTGCCTCTCAGCGAGAAGGTTGCCGGTTCAAATCCGGGTCCGGGGGCCTTTCTGGGTTGAGTTTGCATGTTCTCTCTGTGCATGCGTGAGTTTTCTCCAGGCACTCTAGTTTCCTCCCACAGACCAAAAACATGCATGCAAGACTGATTGGTAACTCTAAATTGTCCCTAGGTGTGAGTGAGACAGGGAATGTTTGTCTCTATGTGTCCCTGTGATGGACTTGCGACCCGTCCAGGGTGTACCCCGCCCCTCGCACAGTGATTGCTGGACATGGGTACTGGCGACCCCCGTGACCCAAAATGGAAGAAGTGGGTAAAAGATGATGGATGGATGCACCAATTTACGTGTATTTCACAGATCTTTACATTTTGCAAGTGAATGACTTTTACAGCAACATCTTTTAAGACAGCTACCAAAGCCAACAGATCATAGCCAACACAAAAATGACTAAAATGCCATCACTATTACAAATATTAAGCTAAAATTACATATAAGAATAGCAAAAAGTCAATCCCAACACACTGCGCATGGCATCTTGCAACATTGCATGAGATTTTAGATAACATTGTTTTTTAAATGTTTGACAACAATGGCTACAACTTCATAATGTTGTAGTATAAGATGAGCTTAGTCTATAACTTTGGTATGAAAGCCAGTTCTTTTATGGAATGTTAGAAATGCCTTTATGTATTTTTTATTTGTTTATTTACACTTTCTATTTCCTCAAGCCGCTGAGACGAGCTGGTCTGTGAAGCTCAGTCCTCACCTCCTTCTACAGGTGTGCAGTGGAGAGCATCCTGTGCTCCAGCATCAACGTGTGGCATGGAGGCTGCACAGCTGCAGAAAGAAAAGCTCTGCAGAGAGTGGTGAAGGCTGCACAGAAGATGTTGGAGTCAGTCTCTCCACCAACACAGACATCTACACCTCCAGATGCAGGAAGAGGGCCACCTGCATCATGAAGGACCCCACTCACCCAGCACACACTTTTTGCCCTGCTCCTCTCAGGAAGAAGGCTGAGGAGCATTAAGTGCAGAACCTCCAGGCTGAGGAACAGCTGTTCTGAGGCTGTTAGACTCATGAATCTCTAACCAGAAAAAATCATTGAAAATTACTGTGAAAAATGAGTGGAAAAAAAAAAAAACCTGTGAAAATTTCTGCAATGCCACTTGGTTGTTGATAGGTGCTGATGACTATCCATGATGCTGATCTCATGCTGCTGATTATTTCATGTTACTGTATTCATTAGTCCTTATCTGCTCATACAAACTCATGTTCGTGCTGCTGTTGTTTTGGCGCATTGTTTTTGTACCATTAGTGCTTAGTGTATTCTTAGATCAGTGAATGTAGTATATTCTTGGTTTATGACTCGGATCTTACTAATGTTTTTCTTTACAATTTGTGTTTTTGTTGGATGTGTCTGGGACCCTATATACATAGTTTTGTCCCACCTCATGTATCACATGTGGTGTGTATGACAAATAAATCTCTCTGACTCTGATTTATTTATATTTTAATTTTTATTTATATTAGGGTTGTCCCAATACTAGTTTTTTTTTCTTTTCAGACCAAGTACAAGAACAAGTACTTCAGTATGGGTACGTGCCTCTGTGTACCAAAACCAAGCAGTTAATGAGTGAGTACGTATTTGAACATTACACAATGACTTTAAAACAGGAACACAACAATCAGTATTAACACAACATCTATCTTAAAATATCTCTTTTATATTTAATTGTCTTTGGTTATTTACAAAGTGGAAGAAGAAATGGCATCACCAAGCATAAAAGTGGTATTGGTTTGAAGTACTGAGGTGTTTTTATAAGTATGAATACTTGTGGCTGGTACTGGGCCCGATACTAATATTGCTATCAAGACACCACTTCTTTGAATACATTTAATTTTTTATTATGGCTCACCAGAGTCGTCAGGTAGCTCTCTAGACACATGGACATACCATATTATTAATTTTAATGCATTGGTTGAATATATGATGAATACATTTAATAAAGTATAAAAATGTTTTGACTTTTACCACCCTCAGTCTTTGGGAATCAAGTTAGTGATTCAACATCTCTTGTTGTGACAAACCACCCATGCATCCATCCACCCATTACCTCCACTTGTTTCAAAGTCGGGTTGTAGGGTCATCAGCTTGAGCATGGAGACCCAGACATTTCTTTCCACAGCCACCTCTTCCAGCTCTTCTGGGGGGACCCCAAAGTGTTCCAAGGCCAAACGAGAGACGTAGTCTCTCCAGCATGTCCTGGGCCTTCCTCGAGGTCTCCTTACTGTCGGACATGCCTGAATCACCTGCCTAGGGAGCACCCAGGAAGCATTCTTACCAGATCCCTCAACTGGCTTCTCTCAATGTGGAGGAGCAACAGTTCTACTCTGAGTCTCTCCTGGTTAACTGAACTTCTCACTCAATCTCTAAGAAAGAGTCCAGCTACCCTGAGGAGGAAACTCATTTCAAACGCCTGTATCTATGATCATTCTTTTGGTCACTACACAGAGTTTGTGACCATAGGTGAGGGTAAGAACGTAGACTTACCAGAAAGCAGAGAGCTTTGGCTTATAACTCAGTTTCCTCTTCACCACGACAGATTGGCACAGAGTCCGCAATACTGCACCAATCCATCTGTCAATTCCTCACTCCATTCTCCCCTCACTTATGATCAAAACCCCAAGATACTTGAACTCCTCCACTTGAGGCAAAACCTCACCCTCGACCCAAAGAGAGCAATCAACCCTTTTACGACTGAGGACCATGGCCTCAGATTTGGAGGTGCTGATTCTTATCCCAGATGTTTCACAATCATCTGAGAACCGCTTCAGTGGGAGCTGATGATCATGGCACAATGACGCCAACAGGACCACATCATCCACAAATAACAGAGAAGAAAACCTGAGGCCACTGAACCAGACTCCCTCCACCCACTGGTTTTAATGAGAAATTCTGGTAATAAAGGTTATGAACAGATTCTGTGGCAATGGGCAGCCCTGGTAGATTACAACTCCTACACTGAAGGAGTCTGACTTACTACCAGCAATGCAAGCCAAACTCTCACACTGCTTGTATAGGGACAGAACAGCCCGTAGCAACGGGCACCCAATACCATATTCACGAAGCTCCCCTCCACTGTGTACCTCAAGGAAAATGGTCAAACGCCTTCTCCAAATTCACAAAACACATGTAGAATGGGTTGGCAAACTCCCATGATGCCTCGAGTACCCTAGTAAGGCTAAAGAGTTGATCCAGTGTTCCACAGCCAGAATGGAATCTGCATTGTTCTTCCTGGATCTGAGGTTCAAACAACAATCAAACTCGCCTCTCAATTACTCCGGAATAGACCTTACCAGGTAGGCTGAGGAGAGTGATACCCCAATAATTGGAGCACATTCTCTGTCCCCGTTTTTGAAGAGGGGAACCACCATCCCTATCTGCTAATCCAGTGGCACTGCCCCCACGGTCCAGCTATTAATGTTTCGTTTTTCAGGGCGAGATGTCAAATTTTGAGGTCTGGCCCCACCCCTTCAGCATGCTCCGAAACGCACCGTTTAGATCACTTTTTGGCCCCCATGCCTTTTGACCAAAATGTCCAAGTTTGAAACTGATTGACCGAAATCCCTAGGAGGAGTTCGTTCAAATGTGGAGGCTGTAAACTGACAAAAAGGTGTGAAATTTGGGATTTCATTCCAAAATTGCTGCCTTCTTGTTTATCGTACAACGTTGGTGCCAGAGGGCTTTCTGTGCATCTTGAGGAACTGGACAAGTGTACCAAATTTCATTTTTCTACGACAAACTAAGGTTAATGCGGGGGGTATTTTGAAAATTTCCAGGTGGCGCTCTTGATCCGTTTCTGTTGTGATTTTTGCGACACTCTTAAAATACGTAATTTTTCAGCAGTCCTGATGTGTCCGCCAAATTTGAGTTTTGGGATATGTTAAGGCCCCCAAAAGGCGAATTCATTTGCCAAAAAATTGCAGCTCGGGCCTGAACAGAGCGATTACAATAGGCCTTTGCAGCGCTTTGCTGCTCGGGCCTCATAAACAATATTTCTGTTAGTGGTGGGAGATGTAATGAAGCTATCTGAGCTAAATGAAACAATCTGGACATTATATGATTCAAGTTATGTGATTTAAACAATGATGTGAAACATACTGCAACAAAGAACTAACTAAATAAATAACAAAATCCCCCACCCCCCCATACCGGACCAGCCACATGTCCTCAACATATGACACAAAAGGCTGCCAGGTGTCCCAAAATCTTTCCACAGAACCCTTTAGGGTGTATCTATTTTTTTCCAGATGAATGAGTTGAAGATCTTTCTGACAGGTTCTTCTGCCAGGCATTCCCAGCAAACCCTCACTACACATTTGGGTCTACCGGGTATGTCCGTCATCTTCCCCCGCCAGCTGATCCAACTCGCTACCAGGTGGTGATCAGTTGACACCTCAGCTCCTCTCTTCACCCGAATGTCCAAAACAAACAGCCGCAAATCAGATGACACCACTATGAAGTCAATCATTGATGTACGACCTAGGACGTCCTGGTGCCAAGTGCACATATGGACACCCTTATGTTCGAACATGGTGTTCGTGATGGACAAACTATGACTAGCACAGAAGTCCAACAACAGACCACAACAGAATTCATTGAGTTGGGTGGGGTTAGGAGATGATGGCTGTGGGCTGGGGCCAGGTCAGGTCGGATTATTTGGATCTGAGCGCAACTCTAGGCTAAGCCCGACTGGGCCCCATGGGTAGAGATCCGATCACCAGGCACTTGCTGACAAGCCCCTCCCCCAGGCCTGGCTCCAGGGTGGCGCCAATGGTAACCCACGTCCGGTCATTAAGCTTCTTGTTGATGTTTGTCCATAAAATGTCTTTGGAATTGACAAAGCACCATCTGAGAATATCCATCCATCTATCCATCCATCCATCCATTATCTCTACCCGCTTCTTCCTTTTTGGGTCATGGGGATCACTGATGCCCGTGTCCAGCAGTCACTATATGGGAGAGAGGCAGTGGACACCCTGGACAGGTCTACATTCCATCATAGGGACACAGAGACAAACGAGACAAACAACCTTTCACTCTCTCTCTCTCACCTAGGGACAATTTAGAGTTACCAATCAGCCTAACATGCATGTTTTTGGTCTGTGGGAGGAAACCGGAGTACTCTGAGAAAACCCACGCAGCATGGAGAGAACATGCAAACTCCACCCAGAAAGAATCCTGGCTGGGATTTGATCTGGCGACCTTCTCAATGAGAGGCGGCAGCTCTATCAACTGTACCATTGTGCTGCCCCTCCTGACAATATGAAAGTTAAAACCATTTTGTTAATATCTCTGGACTAATCCACATCAGATACTTCAAAAGATATAGGTGCAGTCAAATGTTCAGTCAAATGTTGGCCTTGTTGCTGTTTTAAGTGCTCGATAAATAAATTGGTATGGTATGGTAAATGTTTGGATGTTGAATAAAAATGTTTTACTCTCACTTTTTACTAGTCTCTTCATGAGTCATTGTCATATGCATGTATTTTAGATTGTTGAATAATGACAACACAGAGAGAAGAGATGGAGCAGGTTGTTTAAAAGAACTGTCACATTATAAACAGAAGCTGGTCCTGTAAAAGGAAGCGCACCAACAGTTTAACGCAGGACAAATTCTCTTTGATCTTCTGAATTTCTGGCAGGGGATCCTATACTGGGAGTTCGCACATGTCCATGTTTGAAGTGCTCTGTTACAATTTCTTTTCCTCACTTCCCCCTCTTTAAATTCCAAATGTGTGGCACCAGTCTGTCGCCTGCTGGGTGGCAGGAACAGGAAGTAATTGGCAGCAGCTTCCTGTCTAATTCTCAGACAGTTATGTATGTGTAATTATAGGCAGCTAAATTCAAAAAGTGTTCAATACAAAAACAACTGGACTTTATTTGTAACAGAAGACGTTTCGCTCCTCATCCGAGGAGCTTTCTCAATTCAAAGAGCTCTTTGAATTGAGAAAGCTCCTCGGATGAGGAGCAAAACGTCTTCTGTTACAAATAAAGTCCAGTTGTTTTTGTATTGAACGCTTTTTGAATTCATCATGTCCTGGATGACTGAGAATCTTCACCAGCATATAGGCAGCTAACCACTACCTGAGACCCCCCCCACACACACACACACACACACCTTATCCACCCACCCAGAGACATCCCTGCCTCATCAATTTTCTAACAGACCTCACAGTTCTCCAAAATAGCTAAATTAATGTAGAAATGTTTCGAGACTACTTTTCTTTTTGATCCAGCGTGATAGAAAACACAAGAACATGCTTGTTAAATTGTTGTTTTTTGATTCAGAACAAAATCACCATGCTGAATGTGTACATGCAGTAAATCTGATGTGTCCTCATAGGTGCTAACTGGTATTAGTGATTAGTGACAAACACGTACCTTATATCTGGAAACTCTTTGACCAGGACTGCTACCTCCATCTGGATAGAAGGCGTGTCCTCCAGGAGGATTATGTCAGCTATATGACTGATGATACTGTCTAACCACGAGGCACTCGATTCCTGAAACACAGATGAATGTTTCACAGTAATCACACAAAACATTTCAACTCTTTCTGTGTAATGAACGGTGAAATGTATTTGGTCTGTTGCTGCTGTTGCCAGCAAAAATGTTCTCACGCTTTTGTGTGTGTTTGCTCGTCTGCTGTGTTAGCAAAGTAGTTTCGTGAACTAACAAACACATTTTTATGGAGTAAATATTGGATGTAGATTTACAACTACTTACCGTTAAGATGTAACACAGTTCAAGGTCAAGGTCAAGGTGTCTTTATTGTCATTCACATCGCATGTGGTACATGAGGTGGAACAAAACTATGTACACAGGATCCCAGTTACATCCAACAAAAATACAAATTGTAAAGAAAAATAGTAAAATCTGAGATATGAACTAAAAAATATGATAAACTAAGAATATACAAAGCACTAATAGTACAAAACAATGTGCCAAACAACAGCAGCAGGAGGAGGACGAATGAACACAGCAACATGAAATAAATCAGCAGCATGAGATCAGCATCATGTATAGTCAGCAGCACATATCAACAATCAAGTGGCATTACAGTGATTTTTATTTCACAGTAATTTTCACAGTGATAATCCTGACTAGGGATTCATTAGTCTAACAGCCTCAGGGTAGAAGCTGTTCCTCAACCTAGTGGTTCTGCACTTAATGCTTCTTAACCTTCTGCCTGAGGGGAGCGTGGCAAAGGTGTGTGTGCTGGGTGAGTGGGGTCCTTCATGATGCAGGTGGCCCTCTTCCTGCATCTGGAGGTGTAGATGTCTGTGATGGTGGGAAGACTGACTCCAACATCTTCTGTGCAGCCTTCACCACTCTCTGCAAAGCTTTTCTTTCTGCAGCTGTGCAGCCTCCATGCCACACGTTGATGCTGGAGCACAGGATGCTCTCCACTGCACACCTGTAGAAGGAGGTGAGGACTGAGCTTCCCAGACCAGGTCGCCTCAGTCACCTGAGGAAGTAGAGACTCTGATGAGCTTTCTTGATCAGGCTGGTAATGTTGTTTCCCCAGCTGAGGTTGTTGTTTAGGTGCATACCCAAGTACTCATCATTGTTTTTGACACATCCAACCACTGCTGTATCATCTGCAAACTTTACAATATGACAGACTGGATGGGTCAGTGCACAGTTATACATTAGCAGAGTGAACAGGAGGGGACTCAACACACAGTCCTGAGGGGAGCCAGTGCTGAGGGTTATGGTGGAGGAGGAGAAGTTGTGGATCCTCACAGACTGCGGTCTGTTGGTTAAGAAGTCTAGTACCCAGTTGCATAGAGAGGGACTTAGTCCTAGTGTGAGTAGTTTGTCCATCAGCGTCTGGGGAATCATGGTGTTGAAAGCAGATATGAAGTCCACAAACAGCATACAGATGTAGGAGTCCTTCTGCTCCAGGTGGGTGAGAGCAGTGTGGACTGCAGAGGAGATGGCGTCTTCTGTAGCTTGATTCTCGCAGTATGCGTACTGATGAGGGTCCTCCTTCAAGATGGTCACCACAGTTATGAAGAGTCTTTCGTAACAAATGCTCCAAGCACGACATGTTGTACAACAAATTTGCTTAAACCTTTACTATCAAATATTGGATATATCCATGGTTGTCTGTTAACCAAATATCTCAATAGATACATTTTAATAAAACTTTCCAGTCATAATCCTACAACTCATTTGATGAATAAACTAAATTTAAAATGGCCACCATTGTTAATCAACCGTAGGCAACACAAAAACAGCTACAACTCAGCCAGTTATAAAGATATTGTATTTAAATAGAATGTGGCAGTAGCTGAGAGCCATCCCTAACCTATACTCTAAAATGTGCAATATTGCACAAGATCAAGAATAAAGACATTTACAGGGTTTAACCAAAATTGCTATAAATCCATCCCTCCTTTTGGATCATGAAATGATCTTAATTTAAAACTCTGGCATGGAACACCTTGCAAAAAGGAACTGAAGTTGTCCTCCTAGATTTGATAATATCAATAGAAAAATCAAAGCAAATATGTTCTTGTTTTTAGTATTTCACACTGATTTACAGCACACTTATTTATTGTTTAATAAACTAAGCTTTATTAACAGCATTTTTAATGTAGTTTATTGTCATTATTGTTTACTGTTCTTGTTGTCTATACTTTATATGTTCTGTCTGGAACAGGTCCCTCTTGAAAACGAGTCCTCGTGGCTCAGTGAGGCTAGCCTGTATAAATAAAGGTTGAAGGAATGGAAGGATGTAGGCAAAATGCAACCCTTTAAGGAATGCTATGCCGTTGTTTCCCTACGTCTTTTTCAGTCTAAATGTGTTTTCAGAAGAGAGCACATCTTCAGAGGAACCAGATTAATTAATGTCTCTTTAGGTCAGAAGACAAACCTTTTTCTCACATGTTAACAACTCTACCTTTGTATTCCCAGTTTTTGTTTTTACTTCAAAATACTCGGGAAGACAGAAAACTGGACTAATTGCTGAAGGAGTCACAAGAAACAACATTTTTAGTGAGCTATAAAAATCCCCTCTCTCGCCCCCATGTTTCTAGTTTCCACAGCAGTTCTGTCCCACTCCTTGGCCAAAAAGGCTACCAAGGTCATTCCAGAGGCACATCAAAGTCCACCAGCTGAAGGGAACAGGAAGTTCTTTCCAAACACAGCTTCTTCCTGTTGTCAGCCGAGATGATGGGCACTTGTTTGAACTTGAACACAAGTGGTTGCCAGGTTGTCAAGCGTACTTGTTCTTAATTGTTTTCCCTTTTTAGGTAAGTGCTAACGTCAGCCTGGTCCATCCATCTCTATCCCACTGATGGCAGCCATTTTCAGAACTCACTCTTGTATCAACACTGTCTGACCTCTTCCTAACCTAAGAAGTTTAAAGGTCAAGCTCCATTCATGATGAACAGACTGCGTATTTCCTCCACAGCACAAAGAAGAAAGAAAAATCAGCAGTTTGAAGTCTCGGTGCATTTAATCCCCAGAAAAGTAACTATTAGTGCTGTCTTAGATGCTTGGAAGCTTGTTTTCTTACCACTTTCTGTCAATCCCCCCCCCCCCCCCCCCCACACACACACACACACAAAGGTTTGTATTTCTATCTTTACAGGGACGTTACATTGACTTCCATTCATTTCTATAGCCTAACAATGAGTCTTACCTTAAACCTAACCATTACCAGTGCATACATAACCCTAACCCTAACCATTACAAGTACATACCTAACTCTAAACTTAAACATTACCAGTACATACCTAACCACAAACCTAACCATTACAGTACATACCTAACCCTAAACCTAACCATTACCAGTACATACCTAAACCTAAACCTAACCATTACCAGTACATACCTAACCCTAAACCTAACCATTACAAGTACATACCTAACCCTAAACCTAACCATTACAGTACATACCTAACCCTAAACCTAACCATTACCAGTACATACCTAACCCTAAACCCAACCATTACAAGTACATACCTAACCCTAAACCCAACCATTAAAAGTACATACCTAACCCTAAACCTAACCATTACAAGTACATACCTAA